AATAGGTGAATGAATGAATTGATAGGTAAGTAAATCGTGAAAGGTATATGTAATTATATATGTATCTACCTACCCACCTACCTATCTAGCTATCTACCTACCTGCTTCTGTATCTATATCAATCTACACCTAAATCCTGTATCTATCTATCCATCTATCCATCAGTAACAACATCTATTTATAAAAAATCACTAAAATCAAATTCTCCCACTTGCACAGCATAAACAAGTAGAAAAAAAGACAAAATAAATTTTTCAAAAAGTAGCGTCAAAACTCCTCAAAACGTCGCATCCAGCTAAGTCATCTCGTCCGGAGCAGAGACGGGATGCTGCAACAGGTACGGGAGAGGAGAGAGAGGAGGGGCGGATGCCGTGAGACGGGAGATGGCGAGAGGGCATCATCGCTCAGGGAAACAAGCACAGCGCCGGGATCCTCATCCTTCTGTCTGTCTCCTCTTTCTGTTCTTGGCTCGCTCGCTCGCTCCTCTTCTCTCTCCATCTCTTCTTTGCTCAGTCTCTTTGTCTCTCTTTTTTTTCTTGTTCACACTCTCTTTCTCTCTCTATCTCTTTCTTTTGCTTTCCCTTTCTTTCGCTCAGTCTCTCAGTCTCTCTTTCTCTCTCTCTCTCTCTCTCTCTCTCTCTCTCTCTCTCTCTCTCTCTCTCTCTCTCTCTCTCTCTCTCTCTCTCTCTCTCTCTCTCACACACACAAAAAAAAAAAAAAAGAGAGAGAAAGAGAGAGAGAGAGAGAGAGAGAGAGAGAGAGAGAGAGAGAGAGAGAGAGAGAGAGAGAGAGAGAGAGAGAGCGAGAGGGCAAATCATTTTACGACAGCACCACCACATGTTTACCTGCCGCTGACTAGGAACAAAACACTGACAAGTAATAATTCATGATCGCTCAGCCCTCCCACCCCCCAACTCCTCCTTCAATTCTCTTTGCTCTCATGCTCCTTCTCCTCCCCTTTCCAATCCCTCTCTCCTTTCCTTCTCCTCCCTTCTTGCTCCCCCCCCCTTCTACTCACGTCGCCATTTCTATTGCTTCCTTCTCTTTCCTTTTCGTTTTCCACCTCCCCTCTTCTCTCCCCCTCACTCTTCTCATACATACCTTGCTTACCCATACTCCTCGCCCTCCCCCATTCCTTTGCTTCTTCCCTCTTTCTTCCCCTTCCCCCATTCTATTACCCCCCCCTCTCCTCCTCCCCATCTCCCTTCTCTTGCCGTCACTTCTCTCCTTACCTCCCCTCTCCCCTCCCCCCCCCTCACCCCTTTCCGTTTCCATCCTCATTCCCCTCCCCTCCCCTCCCCCTCCCCCTTCCACTTCCCCCCCCTCTTTATCACGCCTCAACTCAACTCCTCACACATTTCCCAAGCGCGAAAACCTTCACATTTTAATGGCACATCTGACACTCCCCTTCTGTCCCGCATTAAAAAAAAAAGAAAAAAAAAAGAAAAAAGAAAAAAAAAATTGTATATACATGTAATACGATACGTGAACCAAACACTAATAAAACATTTCTTCGCAATTTCATAAGAGATGAAGTGAGAGAGAGACGGGAGGCCGCCCCTCCTCCCTCCTCCCCCCCATCGATCGAGATTCTCGGGAGGAAACAAACAGGTTGGAAAAGAATAACATAATAAAAAAAAGAAGAAAGAGAGAGAGAGAGAGAGAGAGGGAGAGAGAGAGAGAGAGAGAGAGAGAGAGAGAGAGAGAGAGAGAGAGAGAGAGAGAGAGAGAGAGAGAGAGAGAGACAAAGAAGAAGAAGAAACTGCCTCACTCATCTATAATGGGGGGAAAATGGAACGGAGAAAATAGTTCAGGGTATAAAAGTATAATTGTTCCATATAACGCGTACAGGAACATCGGCTTGATATTTCCCTTCCCTTCCCTCCCCTTCCCTTCCCTCCCCTTCCCTTCCCTTCCCATCCCTTCCCTTCGCTTGCCCCTTGGTACATGTAGAGCGGATGTACTTTTACGAACGCACAGAGAAAGAATAAATTGTTCAGCTCTAAAAAATATATATATAGGAAGAGGAAAGTAGAGAGTGGGGGGGGGGGGAAGGTAGAGAGGGGAGGGCAGGGAGGGAGGGAGAGGAGGGAGGGAGGGGGAAAGGGAGGGAGGGGGGAGAGGAGGAGAGGGAGAGAGGAAGAGAGGGAGAGAGGGAGAGAGGGAGGGAGGGAGAGAGAGAGAGAGAGAGAGAGAGAGAGAGGAGAGAGAGAGAGAGAGAGAGAGAGAGAGAGAGAGAGAGAGAGAGAGAGAGAGAGAGAGGGAGAGAGAGAGAGAGGAAAGGAAGGAGGGAAGGAGGGAGGGAGGGAGGAAGGGAGAGAGGGAAGGAGGGAACGAGGAAGGGAAAGAGGGAAGGAGAGAGGGAGGAAGGGAGAGAGGGAAGGAGGGAGGGAGGAAGGGAAAGAGGGAAGGAGAGAGGGAAGGAGGGAACGAGGAAGGGAAAGAGGGAAGGAGGGAGGGAGGAAGGGAAAGAAGTAAAAGAGGGAGGGAGGAAGGGAGAGAGGGAAGGAAGGAGGGAGGAAGGGAGAGAGGCAAGGAGGGAGTGAGGGAGGGAAGAAGGCAGACACGGAGAGACGGAGAGGTAGAGTGAAGGATGGAGTGAGGGAAGGAGGGAGGGAGAAAACAGCTAAGTCTCAGTTCATAATGACGGTTAGCGCCTCATATCATTCCTTAATTAAAAACCGGAAAGGACAATAAGAACAAAAACAAAACAAAACAAAAAACAAATACAAACCAAACAAACCATACCAAACCAAACTAAACAAACAAACAAACAAAAAAAAACAGACCAAACAAACAGACACACAAACCAAAACATACCACAGACAATTGGCAAACTGCACACGCCCATTTGCATGTATCTAGTCTTTGCAACAGACACAGAAAAGTTTGTTGCAAGCGCGCAATCATGCATGCACCAACGAACGTGTTTTTACGGCTCGAGGATCATTATTGTTATTGTATTTCGGTAGACTTTTTATTTTTTTTCTATCTCCCTCTTCTTTTCCGGAAAGCTCATCACTTCTTTCCGTCTTCCTTCATTCCCTTTTCCTTCTATTTCTCCCTTCCATCCTCCTTTCTTCCTTCTTCTGAATTCTTACCTCCAGCTTTCCTCCTTCCTCAGAGGTTTCCCTTCCATCTTCTTTCTCCCTTCTTCCCTCTATTTCCCATTCCATCGCCTTTCTTCCCTTCCTTCCTTCCTCCCTCTCATTCTTCCCTTTCCATCACCTTTCCTTCCTTCCTTCCACTTATTCCCTCCCATCTACCTATCCTTTACGAAGACCCTCCCGGAGATTAAAAAAAAAACTTTACCTATTAATTCGACACCTCAAAACACAAACAAAGAACAACAAAAAACAATAACCACAACAGCGACGTATCGGAAAAAAACAAACAATCACAACTTATTAAAAAAAATGAAATAAATAAACAATAATTCTTCGTCAAAATAACAAACACCACGGCCGAAAATAATACCCATAGACGCTTTAAGAAATTAACCTTCTCCATCTCTATTACAGGAGAGAGAGAGAGAGAGAGAGAGAGAGAGAGAGAGAGAGAGAGAGAGAGAGAGAGAGAGAGAGAGAGAGAGAGAGAGAGAGAGAGAGAGAGAGAGAGAGAGACTTTAAAGATGATATAGTCTATACGGCGTTGGCCACGGGTCGTACGCCGCCGCTTAGTTGTACAAACGCTCTTAAAAACTCACAGATAGATAGATATGTGCACATAGATACACGCACACAGACAGATAGAGACATGCACATAGAAGATACATACACATGGATTCAGCCACACACACATGTATGAGGATACACTCAGAGGCATGCGCTTACATGTGCATACAGAGGGAGACACACGCATACACATACAAACAGATACAGATACATTCAGAAACGACACACACACACACACAGCCATGTACACTCAGCCACACACACACACACACATTCTCTCTCTCTCTCTCTCTCTCTCTCTCTCTCTCTCTCTCTCTCTCTCTCTCTCTCCTCTCTCTCTCTCTCTCTCTCTCTCTCTCTCTCTCTCTCTCTCTCTCTCTCTCTCTCTCCCCAAATTGACCTCCAGTCAAGATAAGAAGTAAAAATAACTTCGGCAGCGACAGTAAACTCCAAAAGCAGTGATTCGGAAAACGAAGAAGACCCTGGCGATGGGCGGGGGTGGGCGCGGGCGGCGACGGTGGACGAGGGCGGTTGGCAGGGGGTGGGCAGGGGTGGGCAGGGGGTGGGCAGGGGTGGGCAGGGGTGGGTAAAGGTGGGGCGGGTGGCGGGGCGAGAAAACGGCATCTAATAATAATGTTACTGTAGGTTTTGGGACTGAGAGAGGGGGAGGGGGAGGGGGAGAGGGGAAGAGGGGGAGAGGGAGAAAGGGAGAGAGGGAGATGGATGGATGGAAAGAGGGTAAGAGGGAAGAGGAGAGGGGGTGAGGGGGTGAAAGGGAGGGTAAGAGGGAGAGAGGGAGGGAGGGAGAGTGAGGAAGGAGGGAATGAGGGTGAAAGGGAGAGAAAGAGAAAGAAAGAGAAAATGCAGCACTCAAAATGTCCCCTTCCCCCTCCCCCTTCCTCCCTCCCTCCCGCCCTCCAATAAATAAGATAAATACCACAACGCAACGCATTGAAGCTCCCATTTTACACTGGCAATTTATCCCTCATAAAAAAGCGGGAAAAACGCGAAGCACAACATAAATTACATTAATTCATCCGGACCGAAAGCCCGCGCGCGCCATAAGGGGTTCTTGGCGCCGCTGCTGTGAATCGCAGCGCCGGAAATGGGGGGAAATGAAATAAAAATAAATAAATAAATAAATCACAAATATCTTCCTTTTTTTTCCTTCTCTTTCCTTTATTTCTTTCTTTCTTTCTTTCTCTCTCTCTTGCGCCGCGCGCGCGGCGGGCGCGCGCGCGGACGCGCGCCGAGCGCGGCGGAGGCGTGGGGGCCGAGGGGGGGGGGCGCCACGGGCGGGCAGCACAGGCCCGTCAGCGCCGGCAGGTTCCGGTGCCGGGCGGCCGCGGGAGCCCGCTGTCGGAGAAAATGAGCCCTCACCCGGAGCCGCCGTCCAACAGGGGCTCCCGCGGTCGCACGCCCTGCACTCCATGGCACGGGGCCGCCGTGCGAGAACAACACAATGGATGCGCGGTCCGCCTAGCGCGAGAGACTGCGCCGGCGACGGACGAAGCTCGCACGGGAGAAGGAACCGCGTAGAACAACCAACGAACCCACCGCGAGGGAGCACGGCAGAGCGATTAAAGCCGACCGATCAAGCGCCTGCGGGTTAGGCCGATGCACACCCGCAAAACCGAGTAGAGAAAGCTCCCAGGAAAAAGCTAGGCACCGCAGCACAGGCAGAAAAAGAGGACGATGCCCGAGAACAGAAAAGAGTCGTTCGAAGAGGCCATAAGAGCGGACCAAGAAGACGGGCTATGCGGCAAATAAAAAACGAGACGTAGAATATCTAAAGATACTTTAGGATACGTCACTCCACATCTTCTTCTCCCTCTCCCCCTCTCCCTCTCCCTCTCACCCGAGGAGCTCCGGGCGAGAGGAAAACCTGCGGCATAACACATCCCGGGTCGACCTCGATGGTGTTATAGAGCTAGCTGGTACAGGGCCGAGGGGCGGATAGCGCCTACGGGGCTCTCTCTTGCGTTCGCTTGATAGAGCGGAAATTAAAGTAGTGTAGACACGATGCTCGAGTGAATAGATCAATAAACTAGCGATTGATAGCGAGCGCCGTCGCAGGAGATTACCTGATTTCTCTCTCACACTCTCACTCTCTCTCTCTCTCTCTCTCTCTCTCTTTCTTTCACTCTCTCTTTCTCTTTCTCTCTCTCTCTCTCTCTCTCTCTCTCTCTCTCTCTCTCTCTCTCTCTCTCTCTCTCTCTCTCTCTCTCTCTCTCTCTCTCCCTCCCTGAGAATGAGGAAGAGCAAGGGAGTGGGAGAGGGGGGGGGGTGAGGGAAGGATGGGAGAGATAGGGTGGGGGAGGGAAGGAGGAAGGAAGGGAAGTAGGGAGAAACGGAGAGTCGGAGAGATGGAGAAACGGTGAGAGAGAGAGAGAGAGAGAGAGAGAGAGAGAGAGAGAGAGAGAGAGAGAGTGAGAGAGTAAGAGAGAGTGAGAGAGAAAGAGAGAGAGAGAGAGAGAGAGAGAGAGAGAGAGAGAGAGAGAGAGAGAGAGAGAGAGAGAGAGAGAGAGAGAGAGAGAGAGAGAAAAGGCTAGGAAGAGGGCACAACAAACTAGAGTCTTGTGTGGCTCGTCAATGGAAGAAGGGGAGGGGGAGAGGAGAAACAGAGGAAGGGGGAAAAGCAAGTCAGAGAGTAAAAGGAGTGGAAGAAGAAGGGCGTAAATGGGGTGTGGAGGGGGGTGAGGAGGAGGAGGAGGGTGTGGGGGGGGGAGAGAGCCGAGAGTGCCAGAACTTGTCCAACCGCCACAGGGTGCCTGGGCGGTGAAGGTAGTGGAGGGGGGGGGGGATAAAAGTGGGGAAACAGGTAGGGATGCGAATGGGGGGGGGGGCGGGGGAGGGAGAAGTAAGAGTGGGGAAACAGGTAGGAATGCGAATGGGAGGGAAGGAAGGGTTGGAGGATGCGAATGGGGGAAGATAGGGAGAAGAGAATGGGGGGATGGGAGTAGGGGGCATGGGGAAGGGATGCGTGGGGAAGGGGGGGGGAGTAATAAAGAGGACTGAGATGGCGTAAATGGCAGCGGGAGGCAAATGGCCGGGGGTTGTTGAATGGGGGGAGGGGGAGGGCCAGGGGGAGAGCCAGGGGGAGGGGGAGGGCCTGGGGGAGAGCCAGGGGGAGGGGGGAGGGAAGAGGGGTAATGAAACGGGTGGTTGCGGCTGTTATGTGTGACGCAGGTGATAAAAATGAAATAAAGTCAGATAAGTAAAGAAATATTAATAAACTCTGAAAGGAGGACAAAGAAGAGAAGAAGGAGGGAGTGAGGGAAGGGTAGAGAAAGATAGATAATGAGAGAGAGAGAGAGAGAGAGAGAGAGAGAGAGAGAGAGAGAAGAGAGAGAGAGAGAGAGAGAGAGAGAGAGAGAGAGAGAGAGAGAGAGAGAGGGGGGGGGAGGAGGGAGAGAGTGAGAGGGAGAGAGTGAGAGGGAGCGAGTGAGAGAGTGAGAGAGGGAGAGGGAGAGAGTGAGAGGGAGGGAGTGAGAGAGTGAGAGAGGGAAGGAGGGAGGGAGAGAGAAACACAAAAGAGAGAAAGAAAACAAAAAAAAACAAATAAACAGAAAGAAACAAAGACACAAAGAAAGAGACAAAGAAACACTTCAACAAACAAATAATTTTTTAAAAACCACCATTTTCCCACTCACCGTGTGCTACTATACAACCACCAAACAAACCTATGGTACGTACCTGAAAAAAGAGAAAAACAACAATTTAATTCACATTTTGACATAAGAAACAACAACAACAACAAAAAAAACGAATCAAAGATATATACATAAAAGGCAAAACACATAATGCAAAATACATATACATGCTCTTCACATGCCATATATATACTCGGGGTACGAATAAATAATGGTACTCGGAATTCAAATGATAAACAATATACCATAAGTGGCGAACTCACGGCCACTATCTGTCGAAGTTTTGCGGTAAAATTCAAAGGAAAAAGTTTTTTTTTGTGTGGAAATAAGTGAAAAACAGTTATAGTATTTACACTTCTGTAAGCGAATAGCGCTTGGAGCCTCAGTATCTTTTTAATATTCATATGATACGTAGTAAGTACAATGGAAAAACAAAAAGCAGAAATACGAGATTAACTACAGCCATCTGTATTTACTAACTTAAATATCAATCAATATATCTGTGTGTGTGTGTGTGAGTGTGAGTGTGAGTGTGTGTGTGTGTGTGTGTGTGTGTGTGTGTGTGTGTGTGTGTGTGTGTGTGTGTGTGTGTGTGTGTGTGTGTGTGTGTGTGTGTGTGTGTGCATACATGCATAAACTGCACATTAAATAAATAATCAAAAACATACGCCTACATCCAATCGTATACTAACAAAACAAAAACAATCATACATACCAACAATATAATTCCCCCACAACCAAGAGAATATACAAAAAAAATATAACAAAAAACGAACACACAGACACACACACAACCACACCACAGCTGTATACAAAAAAAATCAAAATAGAAAAAAAGGAAGTCAACCAGATTTCCTCAATGAGCTGCCGTCTTACACAATCTTTCCCGACAGCGACCTCTTCGTAGCCTCTCCCAGGCACCACTTTGCCTTCATAACCAGCTCGCATTGTGTCAAGACTCGAGCACCACCTCCAGGATCGCCCTCGAGTTGTGAAACGCAACCCAGAACAAGCTGAAGGACTCACCAAGAGGCTGCATAGCTCACAGTACACATTACCCTCTCCTCCCCTTTTGCCTCAGATGAGAGGAACTTGATGTAACCAATTACCTCGACTCACTTTTGTACTGTTCGAAGTGGGAGGCACTTAGAGATGAATCCCGCTGCACTTACACGCACTACATTACACGAGCTACATCGGCGCCGGTGTTTCAGTGTTAATTCAGTTTAACATCTCGGTTAGTGTCGTCTATTCACGTCGCTCTCTGTCATTCGTTCTTGTTCCTTCTGCTATTCGTTATCTACTAACTCTCGTCATCTCAAACTTGTTTTATTTCGACTTCTTGCACTGCGCAATCTTAGCAAATGCTCTGCAATACATTTCTTGTGGACAAGGAACACATTAAACGAATGAAACAAGACAAACAAGAAAAGAGAGAACAAAAAACATCTATCAAAATAAGTATTCAATCCTTCTCCCCTCACTCTCCTACAAACACACACACACGCGCACACACACACACAGACACACACACACACACACACGCACATATAACCCGGTAAATCAGCCACCTTCTCGCGACAACACGCTCGCAGATCATCACGCTCTGTCGTTAATCTCACCGACCGCGTGTAACCCGACGCTGCGAATCTTGATTGAAACTAGGGACACGGAACACGGAACGGAGAAGTACGAACAAGGGACACGGAACACGGAACAGAGAAGTACGACCAAGGGAAAAGGAACACGGAACGGAGAAGTACGAACAAGAGACACGGAACAGAGAAGTACGAACAAGGGAAAAGGAACACGGAAAAGAGAAGTACGAACAAGAAACACGGAACACGGAACGGAGAAGTACGAACAAGGGACACGGAACAGAGAAGTACGAATAAGGGAAAAGGAACACGGAATTCAGAATTCAGAACATAGAACGCGGAATACGGAACAAAGGAGTCGGAAAGCGGAACACGGACCTCGGAACGCGCAAGTCGGAACACGGAATTCGGATCGGAAATGTCAGAACACGAAACGCAATTCCCGGTACACGTGAACACGAACTTCGGAACGGAAGACGTCGGAACAAGGAACACGGAACACGGACCGGAGTCGATACAAATACCCATATCCCTCTTATTCGGATCTCGAACCCCGGATCTCGAACCCCGGAACACAGAACAGAGAACACAGAACAAGGACAAGGAACACACATAGGAGTGAGGTAAGAAGGCAAGCGATCGGACACGTTGGAACACTAAATTCCCTCCAAAGAGAAATAAATCTGCAGAGAGGGACGTGAGCGAAAGGGAGAGAAGGAGAGAGAGGAAAGGTGACGGAGGAAAGGGAGGGAAGGGAGGGAAGGAAGGGAAGGAAGGGAGGAGGGAGGGAAGGAAAGGGAGGGAAGGGAGGGGAGTTGAAGGGTGGGATGAGGATAAACAGTTAGTGAGAAAAGGAAAAAAAATAAAAAGAGAGGAAAAGGAGTCAGATGAAAGCGGAGGAGGAGGAGGAAGGTGGAAGAAAGAGGAAGTGAGAATATAGGAGAGGATAAATGGAAGAGGAAGAGGAGGAGAAGGAGGGAGGAAGAAAGAGGAGGAGGAGGAGAAGGAGGGAGGAAGAAAGAGGAGGTGAGAAGATAGGAGAGGAGAGATGGAGGAGGAGGAGGAGGAGGAGGAGGAGGAGGAGGAGGAAGGAGGAAGAAAGAGGAAGTGAGAAGATAGGAGAGGAGAGATGGAGGAGGAGGAGGAGGAGGAGAAGGAGGGAGGGAAGAAAGGCGGAGGGTAGGAAATAAATCGGATAAATGACAACTAAATCTTGACGGAAGGAGAGCCACAATCCAAGCGGTCGCCGGCGAGGTTGGCCTCCGCACGATGACCACACACCGAAGGGGAAAATAAAATAAAAAAAGGAAAAAAAAGGGAAAAAAAGAAAAGAAAAGAAAAAAAGGTAAAACAGGGGGGGAAAGAAAATGGGAAAGAAGGAAAAAAATAAAGGAAAATAATCAAAAAAGGAAAAAAAGGGCAAATGGGGAAAATGAGGGGAAAATGAAAGGAAAAAAATGAATAAAGGAAAAATAATAAAAAAGGAAAAAAGGGGAAATGGGGAAAATGAGGGAAAAATGAAAGGAACAAAAATGAATAAAGGAAAAAATAATCAAAAAAGGAAAAAAGGGGAAATGGGAAAAAAACTAGGGAAAAAAGGGAAAAAAAAAGACAAAAGACATAAAAATACGAAAAGGACAAAGAGTGAGTGAAGGAGAGACAGCTACACAGATTCACAGCGTGGACTGGAGAGAGAAAATTAAAGAGATAGATACAGACATCCACATGTAAACTGGATCAAAGACAGAAAGCTAAAGAATAAGTACGTTTATGTATATGTATATGTATATGTGTATATATATATGTATATATATATATATATATATATAGATAGATAGATAGATAGATAGATAGATAGATAGATAGATAGATAGATAGATAGATAGATAGATAGATAGATATATAGATAGATAGATAGATATATATAGATAGATAGATAGACAGAGAGAGAGAGAGAGAGAGAGCATGGATAGACATACAGATTGAGAGAGAGAAAGATTAAGACACACACACACACACACACACACACACACACACACACACACACACACACAAAGAGAGGAGAGAGAGAGAGAGAGAGAGAGAGAGAGAGAGAGAGAGAGAGAGAGAGAGAGAGAGAGAGAGAGAGAGAGAGAGAGAGAGAGAGAGAGAGAGAATGAATGAATGAAATAAAGAAAGAAAAAAAGAGAGAGAGAAAAAAAGAGAGAATGCAACGGGAGGTAGAGGAGCAACGCATCAATATCTCAGAGAAACGCAAGTCTTGTTCATGGCAAAAATGGGCAAGAGCAGGGGGGGGGGGGGAATGGGAGGGGGAGGGGGGGGGGCACTAGAGAGAGGGGATTGCAAGCGAAATTGAAATATAAAAGAAAACGAGGATGGTTTTTGCAAACAGCGAGAGGAAAGGACAAACCTAAAGGAATAAAAGGGACGACGGATGAAGGAAGGAATGGGAGGGAGATGATGATGATGATGATGATAAAAAAAAGAAAAAAAAAATTATATATATATATATATATATATATATATATATATATATATATATATATATATATATATATATATATAGAGAGAGAGAGAGAGAGAGAGAGAGAGAGAGAGAGAGAGAGAGAGAGAGAGAGATATAGATTACATATATATATATATACATATATACATAAATAAACTACAAAATAAAGAAAATCTGCAGCTTGTCCAACTGGGATAAAGTAAACAAAACGAACGAAAGGAAATAAATATAACAAACAAAGATGAAACAGACCAAGTATAAACCAAACGAAAGAGAAAAAGGCGGAAGAGGATAACAAAGTATCTAAAAATATATATATATAAACGAAGAAATACGAATGGGTTGATAACGGTTACTTCTCTCCACGAATCACATGGAAAATACCAACAAACAACTAAAGAAAGAAAGAATGAAACAAACAAACAAACAAACGAACGAACAAAACAGCAGTCGCCCCTTGACTTCGTATCAGAAAAAAATGAAACATGAATAGAAGAAGAGGAAGAAGAAGAAGAAGGAGAAGAAGAGAATGAAAAAAAATGGGAAAGACTAAACCCTAAAAGCCAAAAATAAATAAAAACAACAAACAAGGTCGTTTGCATACCTCCCCCTCCCCCTCCCCCACTGTCATGGGTGACAGCGGACGCCAGGACTGCGACAGACATAAAAGTTCGTAAGGGGGGGTGAGGGAGGGGGGAGGGGAAGGGAAAGTGAGGGAGGGGGGAGGGGGAGAGAAGTGAGGGAGGGGGAGGGAGAGGAAGGTGAGGGAGGGTGAGGAAGGGACAGGGAGATAGGGCGGAGTGAGTAAGTGAGGGAGGGAGGGAGAAATGAAGAGAGAGAGAGAGAGATAAAGAGAAAGAGGGAGAGAAAGAGAAAGAGCAAGAGGAAGAGAAAAAGCGAGAGAAAGAGAAAGAGAAAGAGAAAGAGAAAGAGAAAGAGAGAGAGAAATATCTGTTGTCACTAACTGTTTGGCTTTGGTTTTATTTTGTCACTGAGCAAACCTGTAATAGCATTTACAGTGAGAATCATAATAGCGATAATATTGGAATTTCCCTTTGATTTTTCCCCTCTCACTCTCACTATTTCTGTCTGTCTGTCTCTGCCTGTCTGTCTCTCTGTCTGCTTGTATGTCTCTCTCTCTCTCTTTTTCCCTCTCTCTCATTCATTCACTCATTTATTCACTCACACTCTTTCTCTTTCTCTCTCTCTCTCTCTCTCTCTCTCTCTCTCTCTCTCTCTCTCTCTCTCTCTCTCTCTCTCTCTCTCTCTCTCTCTCTCTCTCCCATGCATACGCATACCCCCCCCCCTTAAAAAAAGGAAAAAGAAAAAAAAAAGTCTTTAGATCCACTTAATAAAGTAGACAGGCGAGACTACACGGCTCCGCGGACCGAGGGGGCAAAGTGATATTGCCATAAAACTTTTTCTTAAAAGTTTTATCATATTTTTACCCCTCACCCCCCCCCTCCTCGAATAGGCGGAAGGGAGAGAAAGAAAGGGAGGGAGGGAAGGAGGGTGGGAGGGTTGGGTAGGAGAGGTGGGGAGGGAAGGTGAGAAAGGAGAGGAGGGAGAGAGGGAGTGGGAGGAAATGAGGGAGAAAGGAAAGGAGGGTGGGGAGGATGATAGGAAAGGAGTGAGTGAGTGAGGGAAGGAAAGTGAGTGAGTGAGTGAGTGAGTGAGTGAGTGAGTGAGAGAGAGAGAGAGAGAGAGAGAGAGAGAGAGAGAGAGAGAGAGAGACAGAGAGACAGAGAGAGAGACAGACAGACAGACAGACAGAGAACGCAATAAAGACAGAAAAAAAAGAGACACAGACAAACAGAGAGAGAAAAAAATAAAAAAAGAAAATGTCAGAGAGAGGGGGAGGCAGAGCAAGGGGAGATGAGAGGGGAGATAGCTAATAAAATCTGCTCCAATAAACGTCAACGCAAAGATGACCTGCATAATGGAAGGTTGAAGGTTGATGGGGCTGTAGATAAGGAGAAGTGAGGACGCCGCAAGGAAGGAGATAGGAAGGGAAAGGAAGGGAAAGGAGGGGAAAGGAGGGGAAGGGAGGGGAGGGGAGGGGAGGGGAAAGGAGGGGAGGGAGGGGAGGGGAGGGAGGGAAAGGAGGGGAGGGGAGGGGGAGGAGGTTGATTGGAGGAGGGGAGGGAAGGGGAGGCAAGAAGAGGAAACGGGAGGGGAGGGGTGTGAGGGGAGAGAAAGACAGCGAGAGGGGAGGGAGGACGGGGGAAGGGGAGAGGGACTGTGGAAGCCGCGAGGAAGGAGATAAGAGAGGAGGAGGAAAGGGGGAGGGACTTCTGGAAGGCGAGAGAAAGATCGAATGAATGAGAGAGGTTTTGATAGAGCGAAATGGAGAAGGAAAGAATGGAGAGGAAGGAGGGGAAAGGATAGAAAAAAGTGCAATGGAGAGGCAAAGGGAAGGAGAAAGAAGAGGAGGAGAAAAGGGAGAAAAGAGGGAAGATAAGAGGGAGGGAAGGAGGGAGGAAATGAGGGAGGAAAGGAGGGAGGGACGAGAGAGAGGAAGAAAGTGAGATGGAGAAAGAGAAACACACACACACACACACACACACACACACACACACACATATATATATATATATATATATATATATATATATATATATATAGAGAGAGAGAGAGAGAGAGAGAGAGAGAGAGAGAGAGAGAGAGAGAGAGAGAGAGAGAGGAGAGAGAGGAGAGAGAGGAGAGAGCAGACGGAGAGAGCAGACAGAGAGAACAGACAGAGAGAACAGACAGACAGAGCGACAAAGATAGACCCAACCAGAGAGAAAGATAAAAAAAACATCTAGAAGCATCACAAAATCCCTCGTAAAAAGGAAAAAAAAAGGAATAGCTCGCTCTTCGTGGAAGGAACACACCGCCTTACCTTGGCCAGCGTCTGAGGCTGCGGGGCTTCCCGATCAGCGCTCCCTCCGCCTCCGCTCCCGCCAGTGCTGCTGCCGCTGCTGTTCTTCCTGTGTTCGCAGGGGGGCGGGGGCTTGGTCGCGCCCTTGGTGACACTGCCAGTCTCCGCGCTCTTCTTTCTCTCGAGATTACTTTTCGATTTCATAGTAGGAGACGCCTTTTCCCCCTTTTCCTTCTTCTCGGCACTTTTTTCCTTCCTCTCCTGGGTTTTCTCTTTCTTATCACGGTTCTTATCTATCGTCTTTTCATTATTATTGTTGTTGCTGATGTGTTTATCGGAGTTAGTCCTCTTCGTTCTCACCGTGGTCCGTTCTCTCTTACCTTCATTCTCGCCTTTCCCGTTTTCTACGACGCCAGAGCCATTACTATTATAATTGTCACAGTTATAGGTTATGAAGTCGAACACAGAGGTGCTATAGGCGTCGTGAGCAAAATGTGAGGCATGGGCGGCTGGCGCATGTCGTGGGCGCGGGCGGTGCACTGGCTCTAGAGGGCGTGGGAGATTGTGCGCACGAGATGGGTGACATACACAAGCCAGCATTATGGAGTTGACAGATAGTATTCTGATAGTCAATGAATTCTCTCAGTCTACGTGTCCTTAAGAAGTTTATCTTTTCATCTAACAAAAACACTGGAAGAAAACGCAAATAAAAGAGTGAGATACAGAATTCAAACTACTTTATGACTGACGCTTTATTTACGTTCTGCGGGTGCATTTACAAGTGTACAGGAAGCCAAGCGTGTGGGTGACCGGGCACAGGTGGAGGAGAGGGGGGGGGGGCAAGCCTTAAGAATCTACTGCAGTCAACGGAAAAATATAGCCAATACATAACCTCGCTAATATTGGTTTTGTAATTTTCATTTTTTTTCTTCTTTTTCTTTTAATATGCCACTAATCCACGATGTTACAAATTACAACGAAAATACAATTTTCCATCCATCCATTTATCAATGCATACAAAGAGAGAGAGAGAGAGAGAGAGAGAGAGAGAGAGAGAGAGAGAGAGAGAGAGAGAGAGAGAGAGAGAGAGAGAGAGAGAGAGAGAAAAGGCAGGAAGACAGTCACAGAGAGACAAAAAAGATTCAGATAATCAGAGATACAAACATAGACAGCCAGACTGACAGAAACAGACAGAGATAGAAAGAAAGAGAGAGAAATAAAGAGGAGGGGCAGAACGAGACGCAGAGATAAGATCGTAAAACAAAAGAGTATGGGGATATAAAACCTCAAGTGTGACGGAGTACGATACAAGAGCGGACCTGATTATTGGGAAAGAGAGCAGGGGAATAAAAGGGAAGAGAGGAGGAGGGAAAAAAAGGGATGAGAAGACGAGGGGGAAGAGGAGGGTAGGGTGAAGAGGAGGGTAGGGTGAAGAGGAGGGTAGGGTGAGGAGGAGGGGGAAGGAGAGAGGGTAAGGGGGAGGAGGAGGGGGAAGGAGAGAGGGTAGGGGGAGGAGGAGGAGGAGGAGGAGGAGGAGGAGGAGGAGGAGGAGAGAAAAAGGGAAGAGGGAGGAGATTAAAAGAGGGAGGATAGGGAGGGAGGGTGAAGGGTGAAGAGGACACGAGAGGAGGGAGAGGGGAAGAGAAGTAGAACGGAGAGCAGAGAGAAGCAGGGAGGATGGGAGGGAGGGAAGGAATAAAGATGAGGAAGGAGAGGATGGGGGGGGGGGGGGTAGTAGGGACTGGAGATGGGTTAACTTCAAAGACAAAGTAAGTGAAGAATATAGGATATCGTTAGGCCCCTAAAGAAAAAAAGAACCAGAAGTTGATTGAACGGAGGGGAGAAAATGGGAAAGGAATTACATGATATCACATTATATCGCGCCGCGTCATGTTATATAATATCTTGCTACATGAGGGTATATCACAGTACAGTGTATTACGTATTGAGCTAACACACTATCTCAGGAGAAGCACAGTAAAATCAAACGAAAAATCAGAAGAAAATTTGAAGCGACGGAGGATGATGATGATAATAATAATAATAATAATAATAATAATAATAATAATAACGATGATGATAATAATAATAATAATAATAATAACAATGATGGTAATAATAATAATAATAAACAAATTAATAAACTAATTAATTAATTAATTAACAACTTTTATTGATCATCACAATTTTCTTCAACGAAAAAAAGGATGCCATATCATGCCAGCCACGATTATCACCAAAATAACAAAACAAAACAAAACAAAAACAAAAAAATCGGCTACTAATAATCATCTTAATACTAAAACCCATGACCATACCATAATAACAACAAAAACCAACATAAGAATGACGACAATGATGATGACGACGATAATGAAGATGAAAGTGATGGTGATGACTCTGATGACAACGAATACTAGTCATACATAACGAAACCATACCAAGGAAAAGAGAGATAAACAGTGAGTATAAAAACAGCGATGATGAATTGACTAAAGACGTACTTTTCCTTCTAATAATACCGCCTTAAAACTCAACTAGAGATTTTAGAAAATTGGGAGAAAGAGATAGAGAAACCGATAAAAGAAAGAAAGAAAGAAAAAAAAATACAAAAGACGAAGAGAGAGACCTTAAAACAAGAAAGACAAAAAAAAAAATCGAGCGAAAAAACAAAACAAAAAAAAAGAAAATGAAAGAGATTAAAAAAAAAGTCACCAGGATGAAAAACATAAAAAATAAAACAAAGACAAAAGAACACGTGACATAAAACGACCAAGGAAATGGAGTAGAAAGAGAGCGGCGCGAATACGAAAGACTGCAGTGCGAATAAGAGATCAAAAGGACAATGGGAGAAAGTGCTAAAGGGGAAACGAGCCAACGGCGGAGACAAAGCGAAGAGTGGAAGGAAAACGAGACGACAGAAAGATGAGGAAAATTAGTAAGGGGGTAGAGGCGTCAAGTGGAGGAAGCGGAAAGAGAGAGAGGGGGGAGAGGGAGAGGGGGAGAAAAAGGGGGGAGGGAAAGGGAGGGAGGGAGAGGAACCAAACGAGAGAAGAGAGAGAGAGAGAGAGAGAGAGAGAGAGAGAGAGAGAGAGAGAGAGAGAGAGAGAGAGAGAGAGAGAGAGAGAGAGAGAGAAACCAAACGTGAGAGGCAGAGATTCACAACTCACACCACGAAAACGACAAGAAGGCGAGGCGAACCGAGACAACCAAAAAGACAAAACACAAAACAAAAAAACAAAAAAAGCAAAAACAAAAACAAAAACATAGAGAGCAACGAAGCGCGAGACACGGGGCCGAAGAGAAGGCGTGCGTGCGTCCCTTGAAAGGCTTCGCGCTGCACCACAACCGAATCCACAGCAGATCCTTAAGCCGTGTCTGCCGCTCGCTTAACAACTCCGCGAAAAAAAGCCCAACTTGCTCGCCCCTCCGAGAACCAATACGCTCTTGCAATCTGCCGCTTCGAGAGTCATTCTGCAACACGGCAGGACAAAGGTGAACCATCCCGGCAACTGTTTTTTTTTAATAATTTCTTTTTACATATCCATGTATTTATCCATCCATTTCAATCTCATTTTCCCATTAATCCATTCACCCATTTATTCATTCATCTTCATTTATTCTTTATCCCCCCATCGCGTGATTTCAACTTCACGAAGATAAAAAGGTGTACCAGACGCTGTAAACTCTTAGAAAACTACAGTCACATTTTCCACGCGATGACGCCCAATGCACAATAATATCCATTTAGTTAAGATGCAGAATAGTACTCACGTTGTTCACTCGCGGAAATGGAGAATAAACGAATATTTTGGTACGAGAGAGGGGGAGAGGGAGAGGGAGGGGAGGAGGGGATGAGAGAAGGAGGAAGGAGGAAGGAGGGATGGATGGCTGGATGGAAGGAAGGATGAATGGATGGATGGATGGATGGAGGGAGAGGGAGGGAGGGAGGGAGGGAGGGAGAGAGAGAGAGAGAGAGAGAGAGAGAGAGAGAGAGAGAGAGAGAGAGAGAGAGAGAGAGAGAGAGAGAGAGAGAGAGAGAGAGAGAGAGAAGAGAGCGAGAAACGGACAGGCAGACAAGCAAAAACAGAAAACCTAAAAACCAGTAAAAAAGAGACTGAGAAAAAGAAAAACAGAAACACACACAGAAAAAAACAAACAAACAAACAAAACAAAAAGGTAATCGTAATAGCGGAAATAAATAGGGCGCATTTACCCTAAGGAGACCCAAGCGCCGTCGCCCAATTCGAACAATATTCCTGCCGTGAACGAGAGAACGTTTTCCTGACAACGTTTTTTTTTCTTTATAAGGACGGTTTTTGAGAACGTTTTGTTTATTAGGACGCTTTTTTGAGGACTTGAAGGTGAAGGAGAAGAAGAAGAAGGAGGAGGAGGAGGAGGAGGGGGAGGAGGAGAAGATGGAGGAGGAGGAGGAGAAGATGGAGGAGGAGGAGGAGGAGGAGGAGGAGGGGGAGGAGGAGGAGGGGGAGGAGGAGAAGATGGAGGAGGAGAAGAAGATGGAGGAGGAGGAGGAGAAGATGGAGGAGGAGGAGGAGGAGGAGGAGAAGGCGGAGGAAGAGGAGGAGCAGGAGGTGGAAGAGGAGGAGGAGGAGGTGGAAGAGGAGGAGGAGGAGGAGGAGGAGGAGGAGGAGATAGGGGTAGGTGGAGGAGGAGGAGGAGGAGGAGGAGGAGATAGGGGGAGGAGGAGATAGGGGGAGGAGGAGGAGATAGGGGGTGGAGGAGGAGATAGGGGGAGGGGGAGGAGGAGGAGGAGGAGGAGGAGGAGGAGGAGGAGGAGGAGGAGGAGGAGGAGGAGGGGGAGGAGGAGGAAAAAGAAGAGAAGAATAGATATAAGCGTAATAGTAGGAAGAACAAACAAGAAAGGCGCAGTAAAAAATAAATAACCAATAATAATAGGAAGAGAAAGCAAAGGAGAAACAGGGAGAGCGAAGAAAGGGAAAGGGAAAGTCTGCACCGAACCCCCCCCCCCGCTCCCCCCTTAGAGAGACTGAGCCAGAACAAAGTGGCACTCTGGGTGACCCCTTCAGCCGGCAGACCCCACCTGACCCCGGCACTGATACCATGGCACTTCCGTTGAGTGTCGGGAAATTTAATTATCCAGCGAAGGGCGGAGATATTACGACCCTGACCCCCATCCGCCACGGGTGGGGGGGGGGGAGAAAAAGAAATAACAGGAAAAAAAAAATAAACATAAAAAAATAAAATGAGATTACATGATGAGTGTTTCTGAATTCATACACAGGAATTATCCGCTTAAAACATCCTCTTTAAGTTTGTCTTAAAGAGATATACTACATGTAAAGAGGCAGAGGCAGCTAATTCATCGATCAAACACCACACAAATCATTACCCTCTTAAATGTAACAATAATAATAATAATAACACAAAAAATATGACAAAAAATGCAACGGATGTAAGCTACCACTTACTCGAAATCTAACCAATAACAAAATATTGAATAACTAAAAAAGAAAAAGAAAAAGAAAGAAAAAAAAAACGATAAAAACAACAAAGACAAAACAAAGAATACGCACCCACAATAACGACACACACACAAAAACAACACCACAAAGAAATTTCCGGACGAGAGACAAGCAAAAAGCAATCCTGCAAAACGATGCTCAAAACTTTGCAACATGCAACCGCTAAGTATGTTCCCTTTTGAGTAT